AAGTTTAACCATGTTTATATCAGGATTAGGGGCTAATTTTGAATTTGATTTAAAAAAAATCATTGCACTTTCAACTTTAAGTCAATTGGGTTTAATAATAAGGATTTTAGCTTTAGGGAGTTATGAATTAGCTTTTTTTCATTTATTAACACATGCTTTATTTAAAGCATTATTATTTATATGTGCAGGTTCAATTATTCATTCAATAAATAATTGTCAAGATATTCGTTATATAGGAAATTTGATTAATCAGATGCCATTAGTATGTTCTTTTTTTAATATTTGTAATTTTTCTTTGTGTGGATTACCATTTTTATCTGGTTTTTATTCTAAAGATTTAATTGTTGAGGTTATATCAATGAATTTATTAAATTTAATAATTTATTTATTTTTTTATATTTCTGTTGGATTAACAGTATGTTATAGATTTCGTTTATCATATTATAGATTAACAGGAAGATTTAATTATTTAAGATTGCATTGTTTAATAGAAAAACAAAGTTATATGTTAAAAGGTATATTAGGATTAATTTTTAGAGTAATTTTTAGTGGTAGAATATTAATATGATTAATTTTTCCTTCACCATATTTTATTTGTTTACCAATTATTTTAAAAATAATAACTTTAATTATAATTATTTTAGGAATCTATATTGGATATGAATTAGCTAAATTTAAATTAAGTTTTAATTTAAAGTCTCTAGATTATTTAACATTAAGGAGATTTTTAGCTATAATATGAAATATACCAATAATTTCAACTTTAGGTATTAATTATTATCCTATTTATTATGGAAATAAATATTTTAAAAAATTTGATCAAGGTTGAATTGAGTATTATCATTGTATAAGTAAATATAGTATTATATTTCTTATGGCCGAATAGTTGATCAAATTTTAGTTCTCGAATTCGTTACAAGGAGGAGCCATATGTATGTAAACTTGATATTTAATCGTTCACGTTCAATTTTACACTTTCGATACTGCGCCATCTTATGTTCAATAGTTAAATGATCCATTTGAAAATACAGTTTTCTTGAGATGAAATGACGGGATAACGGAATAAATTCATATCACATGACATGGATATTAGTAAAATACCAGCTACTGGCAGATACGACAAAAAAGCTTCAGTTAATGCGGTTTGAGTTTTTATCTAGGGTTTGAGAAATTATTTAAATAAGGTAAAATTAGTTAAATCAATATGTTGTTGTTATTTAAGCAAGATATTTATTTCAAATTCATTAATTTCAGTATAGCAATAACAGGACCGGGTGCAAAATAAATTGCGCGGCCGCTTCATAAATACATAAAAAAACAATTATGAACGCATATGATATCAAGGAGTTATATAAAAAAACAATTGAATGTTGCGTTTTAAAGATATAAACAAAATTAAATTCCTCTACTTTTTCTGATTACAGAAATATATACATAAGAATATTTTATATGTCTGCTTAGACACATTGCATAATATTTTGTTACCCTAGTAATAATCTTCAAGGCGGACATGAGGCGATATCTGTTGGCAACCGGCGTAAGCCACACTCATGGGTGCTGTATGGGCGTTAGAGACCTGCAAACTGGCAGCAGGGATCTGTTATACCGGCATTTAGCTTGTGATTGGTTGGACTAGGCGATCTACGAGGCGGGGATGGTGGAGGGATCATTCGTGGCGACATATACAAGCTGTTGGTCACGGCGAAGCTGGTGGAGAAAAGTTATTAAAAACGTGAGCAAGTAATAAACTGTAATAATTTTGTTAATGAAAATACAATTTTTTTTAATTTTAATTTTTAGGGTTTTTCACGTAACCCGTTCATTAAAAGTATTTAAACTTCTAGTTACAATGGAAATTTAAAATTTTGACAGCTATCTGTGTTCAATTTAGTCTTGAAATACTCAAGTGTGAGATACTTCCGGTTTCACCGGAAGTGACGTCATCTCCATTGTTTTAAATGGAATACCCCATTTTTTATATCACTCGTCGATTCTACGAGTTATTTTTGTCACCACGTCCATGCCTTGAAAATTTATGGTTTTCGTTTTCGAGATATAAAAATTGATAGATGAAACGTCGCGATTAATATTAAATATCTCTACCATTTGTATAACTGGACATACTTCCATTATTAGTATGTAGTATCTGTTATGTATTCATCGAAAATGTGTCACATTTGACCTAGCTATGCACAAGGTCCTAAAAATTTTGCGGCCAACACGGTAATTTTCAAAGATTGAAAACTAATTTTTTTCAAATGGAACAGTAACAATTTTATCAGTCAGGAAAATGTAGAATTAAATTCTGCGTCGACTGACATAGAGGTTTCCAATACTTATCTTCAACGGTTTTGGAGATAATCACGATTATTTATAAAGGACGAACTTTAACGTGCGTTAATTTACTACTATAATTTTTAAGAAGGGTGTGCCACCAAAAGATAGTCTCATTTGAAAAAAATATGTACGTCCCAAAAACTCTTCGATGAACTTTATTTGCTAATAAATTGCATCGTTTAGTATTTTTGACGGGATTTTGATTTTTGCAGCATTGTATGGGTCGATTAGAGTAAATTGAAACACACACCTAAACAGAAAACTAAAAACTAAAATAGAAAAAAAACTTATGTCTCAAATATCACTTATGTGGATTCAGAAAATTATGAAGAGTTTTCTAAGTTACTGTCATTTCCGCCGAAAATAATACGATGTCCCAAATTGCAATAATTTATCTTCAAAACTAAAAAGAAAAAGGAGGTATACCATCGTTGTGTTAGTTTAAATTATAGATAACACTTGATATTATTAGATTTATTTTTAATATTTTTTTATCTAGTTTAATTTTAATTATTTGTGTTTTATATCCGGTATATTGCTGCAATCAGAAACAATAGAGGAATTTAAGAAACGATAAATATACAGGGTGTTCCATTAAAAAAAAACAAGCATTTTGTTTTATATCACTCTGAAACGCAAAATCCAATTGTTTTTCCATGTAGTGCCTTGATATCACAAGAATATTTACTAAAACTTTTTTTTAATTTACGTTACGTTTTTTACCATTTTGTCCTCGCCACAAAACATTTTTCGTCCTTTCTAAAATTATGGTCTCCCACGCTGTGACGTCAATTTCCAGTCTTCGAGGCTTTCGAGGCCGGCGAGACCTCGATGCGTAGCTTTTGACGTCACCACGCCTTTATAGAAAAGGACGAAAAATGTTCATATTTTAGAGTTGTATCATTGTATAAGTAAATACAATGGTTGTATATCTCAGTTAATATTGACAAAAAAAAAAACAGAAAAATGCTACATCAATTTTTGAAACATTCTGAATGCAAATAAATAATAAAAAATCAAATGTGAGACAACCCTATTCATATTTGGAATTTTATTATTTGAATATCTGCTTTCCCCTCTTAATGAATCCCCTCCCTAAACCATCGCGAAATATTCGCAGTGGCAGCGAAATTTTCGCGGCGAATAAATTTAATATCGCGATATCTTCGCAGCGGTACAGGCATGGCTATTTACTTTCATAAGTAACGCGATTAAGGCGCGAATATTTCGCTGCGACTACGGTGCGGACATTTCGCGTAGATTACTTCTGATTCTGAAGCTGTAGATCTGTCGCCGTGTATGGGCGTTTTCACACTGACTGACACGACACCGGCATGGCAACGACAACGATGCCGGTGGATGCGTAATCTCATAAATAAATGTTTTCAGACTCGCCGATATATCGGTATCGTGTCGTGACAGCCTACTCCACTTGCGTCGTTGCTGATTTTGTGTCGGCATCGGTGTTATGCTGATGTCGTGCCGGTGTCGGTATAAGTAAAAACGCCCTATCGTGTATACAATATGATGCGCATCGAGATGCGTATTTTTAAGCAGAGCGAATATACACCCCGACGACGAAACATGCGACCCTTGTATAGAATGATAAATTAATTCCCCAACCATCTGGAATTGTCAATTACAAAACTTTTTGGTAGGCCTAATATTTTTTATTTCAATAACTATAAATAAATTTTTCATAATTTCGTTATTTTATTTTATCGCATATACCTCTTATATTTCCAGAACTAATTCAGATAGAGACATCACCATGCATTCATTTAAGAACATTAAAAGAAAACTTATAGTGTAATTTACAGCGATAAAATGAGTCATGTCTTTATATACTAGACTACTAGACAATGCCAAGACCTACGTCAATTTCTAATACTACTTTTTTTTGGAATGACGAAAACTTGAAATTAGTAGATATAAAATTATTAGATATAATATAATAATATACATTCTTGATAATATTTTTGACAAATCGACGTTACTCTGGTAGTTTATACAGCGGTGTGACAGTAAAGATATACAAACCCACGAAAAATTATTTTCACCGACACATTGGCTTTTTATTGATAATTATTAGTAATCAATGACCGAGCCGTAAGAAATAGGACTCCGATCATGGACCACGAAAATGTTCTCCGGTTTATCCTAAGTTATTCAGTGTGTAAACTCGAATTTTCACCTTTCCTCTATCCTTATCGGTGAACATAATTCATAAATTAAAATGCAAACTTCTATGAAATTGTGATTAATTTTTAAAAATCATTTAAGTTTAAATTTTTTTTATTAAACTGCTCAATTTTGATAATGAAATTTGTAAATTTTTTTAAGAATCTTTGAAGTTGAAAATTTTGTATTAAACTTTTAAATAAAATACTTAACTTTCAAAGTATTTTTTCAATGATTTTAGGACACCCTGTATAAGTATATTTATTTACTCACCACAATTTTCTATCAATTTTTTAACTCGTTCTTCACCATCATACATATTTACATAAAAATATTTTTCCGATGGAAATCGATGTAATATTATATTGGGAAATTTTCCTTTAAATTTTCCACATTTATAATATTGACATATTATATTTCCTGCCATTATTAATTTATTTTAAATATGTAAACAGTAAACAGAACACCGATTCAACAACACCAGTTTTTTATGCATTACATAGTGGCGATTTTTTGTATTCCAAATTTCCAATCTTACTTAGAGTCATCTACACACGAATTACTATACCCCTTGTATAATAACAGTACAGTAGAGACCGCCTAGACCTACAGTGAGTTCGTTAGCACAAATTTCAGAAATATTAATAACTGATACAGACGATAGATGTCCACACTATCTTTCGTATCATTTTACTGGTTAACAAAATTTACATGGGGATTATATTACTATATTTACTTATACAATGGTACTATCTAGGTTACACCAAAGTTTATATTTACACTAAAGTTTACATTTATTATGTAAACTTTGGTTATACGCAACTGCATATTGAATAATAAATTGAAATACTAAAAATGTGTATTATTTAACATAATAAATGATAAAACGTGAAAACGTTAATATTAAAAATGATAAATTGTAATAACCGTAAATTCGAAAATAATCATCCCTATTCATTACATTTTCCTTTGATAAAACACCGACAACTTTTTGCTCTTCTTTGCATGGAATGCGATCCTACTACAGTTTGTATTAGTCTAGGAGCCAGATAGGGTTCCGTTTACTAGCTATAAAAATAAAAACTTTTTACAGCCATTTAAACATTTAATTTGTTGATAACAATTAAACTCACCACTTTCAGGCTTGCGACCAAGTTTTTTGGATTCAGGAG